GTCGCCGCGAGCTCGCCCCGCCCGGCCCGGCCCGGCCCTTCCCTCCCCTCCCCTCCCCAGCCGGGCGCGTGGCGCGGCGCGGGACAAGACCCGGTCCCCTGCTCTCCGGGGAGCGAGCGGCACCGGTCGGATGCCGTTCCAGTCGCTGCGTTTCGCGAAGCGCTGTCCACGGGGGCGCCGAGGCAGCCTGCTGCCCGGTGGGGCGCGGCGTGAGGCCGCCCCGAGCTGTGGGGTCTGGCCCTCTGCCCGCGCGGGCACGAACGACGTGGGTTCAGCCTCGCCCTCCCCCTCGTCTTCCCCCCTTCAGAACTCCTCTGACATGCCGGAGACCATCACCAGCCGAGACGCCGCGCGCTTCCCCATCGTAGCCAGCTGCACCCTGCTAGGACTCTACCTCTTCTTCAAGGTAAGCGAGCTGCCGAGGTCCTGTGTGGACGGGGCAGGACGTACCAAGTGTGTACCGGGTCCCTCCTGCTTTTTGTTCCTTCCCTGTCTCCACCAGGCTGCCTCTGTGTCCAGATCTACTCACGGCAGGACGCAGCCTGCCCGATAGGAATCTGAGATGCCCTCCAGTGCTGATTTAAGAGTCGTAGGCAATGAGGGTTGAAGGGACCTCAGGGGGTCACATCTAGTTCAGCCCCCTGCTCCAAGCAGGGCCAGCCCCAACTCCATCATCCCAGACAAGGCTTTGTCTACCTGGGTCTTAAACACCTCCAGGGTTGGAGACTCCACCACCGCTCTGGGGAGCCTGTTGCAGTGCTTCACCGCCCTCCTTGTGAGAGGTTTTCCTAATATCCAACCTCAACTTCCCTTGCTGCAACTTGAAACCGTTGCTCCTTGTCCTGTCATCTGCCCCCACTGAGAGCAGTCCAGCTCCATCATCTTTGCAGCCCCCCCGGCAGGGAGTTGGAGGCTGGTATCAAATCCCCGTCGGCCTTCTCTTCTCCATACTAAATAAGCCCAGTTCCCTCAGCCTCTCCTCACAAGTCACGTGCCCCAGCCGTTTTCATTGCCCTCCTCTGGACTCTCTCCCATTTGTCTATGTGATTGTAGCCCACCCTGTTGCAGGCTGCACTGCCTGCATGTACAGTATGTCACTAGAGGGGTGGGAGACCCTGCAGGCCTTGCTAGGCAAAAGAGCATGTTAAGGACAGGCGTGCTCACCTATACCTGGGTTGTGGACAGCACCGTGCCCATGAGCCCACCCAGCGTACCTTATGGAACAAGGAGTCAGAAAGTCGGAACGGATGGGGGAGCAAAGTGCGGCAGCATCTGCATCGTGGGGCTGCTCAGGCCTGGTGCAGGCTGGGGCCTTTGACTCGCAGCCTTTCCCCTGCATCGTGTTGCTTTTTGTCAGCCCAGGCCTGTGTCCACAAGGAATTGCTTTTAAAAGGAGGCCAGAGAGTCCCTGGAAACTGTAGCTGGTGCTCAGACTGCAGAGGCTCTTCAGCTTTGCCTGCTAGTGCGGAGCTGACCCTGGTCTGATGCCCTAACTGAAAGCAGAGGTTAACAGGGATATTTGCATTGTAAATCCTGCTGACTTCCTTTGTGTTCCCTGCTTTGCTTCACACACTGCTCCAACTGCTGCTGGAGGCACTAGTGATTGCCAGCAATTCAGCCAGCTGCCAAGGTGGAAGAAGCAGTTGCATTTAACTGGCAGACGAGGCCCAGTCTGTTTCCTGATGGGGAGCTGCCGAGAAGTGGGAAACCAGCCTGTCGGGTTCAGTGAACGTGCCAGAGCCCTCACAGGTCGCGGCAGCCCGTGCACCAGGCCCTGCTGGATCAGAAAGGTTGCTCTGCTTACCGAAGCTGGTCTGGAGTCGTTCCAGTTGTACTCACTGAACCACTGCAGATGCCCTGGGGAGAGGCAACGAAACTGGTCTAAACTTCAGTTTGAACCGGTATTCGCAGCCTTCAAGTCATCTGAATTAAACCAGTGCACCCCTCCACGCTCTGAGACCCCAGACTAGCTAGCCCAGCATGTTTTCCCAGGCACTCGTAGTGTCCTCCAGCTCCTTCCAGGCTCCTGCTTGTGGGCGCTCAGAGGTGGAGTGGCCTTAGGAGCTTTGAACAGAACTGGTTGACACAAGTGATGTGAGCAGTGGGGAGGGTGGGGACGACTCCTAAAGAACCCTGGGCAACAGGTCCTCAGTGCCTGGGCCTTGACACCTTTCATCCCCGAGGACCATAGCAGAGTATGAGCCGGGCAGTACTGACTGTGACTTAGTGCTAACCAAATATCCAGGGCTCTTTCCTGGCCAGTCAGGGAAGCAGCTGCCCTCTTCAGTGTCTTGCTTGTGAAGATGTCAGCAGTGCTGCTCGGGCACTTCTGTCATCCCTTGCCTGCCAGCCACGTTATGCGTGGCTGGTAAATACCTGAGGCAGGTGAGCTCTAAGTACATGAGGTGCTTGGTGGGATGGGTTAGACTCTGTCCAAGTGAGCCCTGCAGCCCTTCTCCTCCTGGATTCTTTGCCATTCCACCAAATTCACGTGGCTCCGGGAGCATCTGCTCTTTCATTTGTTTACAGTAGCTGTCATGACCTGGCTCCGCTAGGAGTGTTTGCATTTGAACGTCTATTTTTAGGAGACTCTAGGAAGAGACCAAAGACAGCCTTGAGCGGCTGGGAGCATGTTGTGCTCGAGCTGGGGGATTAATGCCTGATAAATCATGGTGGGGTATGCAGCCTGTAAGGTTGCCTGTGCATATAGCAAAGGGCAGGGGGGCTAATAATATCATGGGATAAAGCAGGGCATGGTATGGGCCTGCTCTCTGAACCCACTTGTGCCTTCTGGCTCTGGTCTCGTGCTGCTTGCCACACAAAGGATGGTGACTGTGACCTGTGACCGCTGTGCTAAGTGCCTCTCATTCTGCCTTCCAGATCTTCTCTCAGGAATACATCAACCTCCTGCTCTCCATGTATTTCTTCGTCCTGGGGATTCTTGCTCTGTCCCACACCATCAGGTAAGGCCAGGGGGTCTAGGAGAGCTGGGCTTGGTGCCAGCTCTGTACCAGCCACCTCTCCCACTGGCTCTCTTGTCAGTGCACCTCAGGCCCTGCACAGAGCCAGGAGCAGAGCCCAGGTGCTTCAGGTCCATGCAGCACTGTATGAACTAGTCCATCTTGCCTACAGAAGTTTGAATGGACTCTGACCACACTGTAGGGGTACAGGGCATGTTCAGCCCTCTCCAGAGACCATCCTTAGTGGTGGCTGACTTTGAGGCAGCAGTTGAGAGACTGGCCTGGATCCTCTTGCAAGAGCTTGGGACTCGGTGAACCCAGTTTGGGAAACCAGCTGGAAAAGCCCAAAGCCCAGTGAAAGCTGGAGGTGGAGCTCCCAGCAGCACTGTGGCCCAATAGAGTAGAGCAGGAGACGGGAATGCAGCTCTGGGCTGCTTTACTGCAGACGTAACCCTGAATTCAGGGCAACCCAGGGATGACCCGCACTTCCCAGGGTCAATTCAATCTCTCTCGAGTCATTCCAGCACCAAGAGTCCCTCTAGCCTGCCCCACACACTGGAGAGAAGTTGGCTTTGCCCCAGTTCCCTTTTTCCCCACCCAAGGTCTCTGGCTCTCCAAGCCTGAGTGCCGTCCTGGGAAAGGCCTAGCCCTGCGTGTTAAGAGGTCAGACTGGGAGGAGAAGCACTGAGGGTGGATGTCTGTGATGTGTCCTGCAGCCATCCCGAAGGTGGGGGAAGCATAACATACTCCCGGGGCTTCTGTTGGATTGACCTGCTCTGTCTCTTCTTCCAGCCCCATGATGAACAAAGTCTTCCCGGCTAACTTCCCCAGCAAGCAGTACCAGCTGCTCTTCACCCAGGGCTCAGGGGAGGCCAAGGAAGGTATGTCAGCTTGCCAGCTTTTGTGGGGCTCTTGCACTCTTGGCTCATCCGTGTTTGCTGCGCCCCCGAGTTGGTAGTTTGGGAGCTCTGCCTCTCGCACCCTTCGGCTGTGGCTCGGGCCCGTCTGGACACCAGGCACTTGCCCTTGAGATCTCTGGCTTCCTGTCTGCTGCCTTGTGCTTCAGCAGAAGATCCCAGCATCAGGATGCTGTAGAACTGGAGCCAAGAATGGAGCCAGTTTCCTGGGCCACAGCTACCCCCTGAGAGCCCATGCGCTGGTGCAGGATGCCTCGGCGGGCGTGAAACCCATTGACATTCAGAAGTTCAGGGAGAAGCGTGTGGCCTTTCAAGTAGCCCCAATGGTAGCAAAACGAGTAATGGAAAGGGTAGAAGGCTTCTAATATCTAGTGTCCCCTGAGCTCATTGGAGCTGCGGACAGAGCCCCATGTCTCCCATGGCGCATGCGTGGCAGTAACACTGTCCAGACGAGGTGGCCTCACATTCTTGTGTCATTGCAGAGATTGTGAATTATGAGTTTGATACCAAGGACCTTGTGTGCCTGGCTATGAGCAGCGTCGTGGGGGTCTGGTACCTGCTGAGGAAGGTAGGGCATGGAGCAGGGCAGCAGGGGTGAGCCCCACTGGGGGAGGAATGAGGGAGCCTCAGTGGGTTGCACATAGGGAAAGCTAGTCTCTGAGCCACTGGTGTGATGCAGCTCCCCGCTCTGTTCCCAGCACTGGATCGCCAACAACCTCTTTGGGCTTGCCTTCTCCCTCAACGGGGTGGAGCTGCTGCACTTGAACAACGTCAGCACTGGCTGCATCCTGCTTGGAGGACTCTTCATCTACGACGTGTTCTGGGTAAGTGGGTATAACTGCGGGAGGGGCCTGGTGGGTGCACCGTGGCCCAGCCTGGCGCCCATCCCTTGCTAGCACAAGGCCACGTCAAATTACCCTGCTGCAAGTAGCCCGAGCTCTGCCCTTGAAACGAGCTGGTGCTCAGCCCTTGCTACAGCCCGGAGGAGGCTGCTTCAGAGCCTGGCTGCTTGTTCTCAGCCCAGAGCTCTTCTGGGCTACTTGGCCCTGTTTGTTCTTGCACAGGGGTTGTCCCGTGGTTAAAATGGCCCCCTCCATCCTCGGTGTGTTGGGAGTTCTGGTGTGTCCTCTCTCAGCCTCTGTTCTGGGAGGGTAAATCAGACAGGCTTGTTCCCTCTCCGTTCCCGCCTCATCATTCTCTGCGCCTGCTCCTGTTTGAGTTATCCTTGAACATGGGTGGCCAGACTCGCGTGCGCCATTGCAGGGCAGCTCTCACAGCCGCACAGATACTTCCCGTCTCAGCTGGGATTGCCTGCCCTGGGCTTTCCTGTGACTTCCTCAGCCCTGCCCTCCCAGCGGGTCCTGGTTTTCCTGTGAGCGGTGAGTACAGCCAGGCCTTCCCCATTCTGTTCCCCTCCACTTACATTCTCAGGGACTGGAACAAGACTGTCTGCAGTGACTCTGTGCCTCCTACCCTTGCAGTTCATCCCATCTCCTTTACTCCAGCCCATCTAGGATATTCAGATTCTCCTTTGTATGGACTATACCTCTCCCCCAGCTTTCTCTGCAGGTCTTGTTAGTGCAGTGTTGCTTTTTACACCAGGATCATTGATGAAAGCATTACACAAGATCAGCCCCAAAATTTGTTCCTGGGGAAACACTCTGTGTGCCCTTCCATGGCCAGACAGCTCTCTTCTCAGCATAGCCCATTCCCATTATCACCTCTACCTTAGCCAGCTCCTTACCCATCTTGCCATTCTCTACCTGGCCTGGCCTTCTGCTGATCGAGGATACCCAATGGCACTGGATCAGGCACTGTGTTCAAGTCCAGATCAGGTCTACTATGTGTTCCTTGCCAATGCACGTCTCTGTCAAGGAAGGCTCTCCAGCTGGGCTGGTACCAGCTACCCCCTCTGGTTGTGTTTTTTTTCATTTCTCCCCTTTTCTTTCCTTCTGTGCTTCTTCAAAAGCTTTGCCAACAGCTGAGGTCAGACAATGGGCCCTGGGTACTGCTTTTCTCTGTTCAAATAGAGATGCGCTCTGCTGTTTTCCAGTCGCTGCCTAATGCCCCCC